TCGAAGGAAGTTTTATGGAGCAAAACACGAGGTGAGTACAAAATCACGAGGTGAGACAGCTATGATCAACCACAGGATTACAGGTAGAGTCACTTAGGTAATTTTGACCCAGTGGGGAAGCAGGACATGTGGCAAGTGTGCATGGAGAGAACAAGGAAGCCCTTCTTTCCTGGAAGGGCTGGGTTGGAAGGTCCTGGTCACCCGCCCAGTCCCAGATGCCTATTTATGTATTTTTTGGATGTCTTTTTGAGACAGGGTTTTACTATGCAGTTCAACCTGGCCTTGAACTCACTTTATAACCCAGTCTGGCCTCAAATATGCAGCAGTCCTCCTGCTTCGGCCTCCCGAGTGTTGGGATTACAGGCGTGCATCACCATGCCTGTCCCTGATGCTCATTTAGAATATCCATCCGTGTTTAACACTCGGGGGGCATGGAGATGTAGTCATTTCATCTTTATCTTGAGATCTGGCTTTCAAGGAATGCGTCTCCAGCCACAGGTGTAATGTTTTCTCATCCTCTGCATTGAGTTCTGAGGGCCTGGCCCTGTCTGACTGCCTCTAATATTTCTGCCTAGCTTCGCTGTGTGTAACAGAGCAGCCAGCCTCTGTGGTGGGCATCGTGGCTGCTTCTGGGCCAGCCCTGTGTGACTCTCCAGGGCCAGGTGGCATCAAAGCCCTCAGTTCTCTGAAGCTGGGAGGAGTAGAAGCAGAGAGACCCACGGGCCTGCAGCCTCTTCCTTCTCAGAGAAGCCGAGGCGAGGCTGCTGCCTTCACCTGCGCTGTCCAGTTTGGCTTGAAGGGGGCGTGGGTGGCAGGAAGGATGGGGCTTGGCAGCGGCCTGTCTGGCTGCCAGAGTGTCCCCTTCTGCAGCTGGTGCCCACCTGAAGGATGTGGAGGACATGGGGCCCGGCCTGAGGCTTCCTGCACACGGTGACCTCCGGCATGGATGGTGCTGCCTGTCACACGGCTGCAGCCCTGAAGCGGTTACAAGCCTCAGCTTCTTGTCTGTGGAGTGAGCTGTGCTGTGTGCTCTCTGGAGCCGAGATGAGGTTTCCGGGAGCTGTGAGGCAAGCCAGGGGCAGCTGTGGGGGTGCCGCCAGGACCCCCTCATAACCAGAGCGGTGGAGCCAGATTTTGAGGGGCAGGTGAATTGTAACAGCACATTCACTTCTGCCCTTGTGACTTGGCCTGGAGCCTGGACTCCGTCTTGGCTTTCAGATGGTATGGTTCCCTTCTTACACTCAGGCTGCGATTGGAAACCCCCTTCACCTGCTCTGTGTCCTGGACTGTTGAAAACACGTTGTGTGCTGGGGAATCTGGGGGCTTTCCACGGACTGAGGAGTCCCAGCTCCAGGACAGGCAGGGAGCAGTGGGCTGTCCTGCTAGGGTGACTTACACTGTAACCATGGCAACCATGACAGCAGCAGGTGGTGGCCTCCGCGTCATCTGGTCCCGTTTCTGTGGCTGAGGCAGTGGCCAAGGCACAGGTTTCTGCAGAGAGATGGAGATGTGGGCAGCACTGTGGGCAGCTCACCCTAGGCGGCACCGGCCTTCCGGCCACTGTCTGTCTGTCCCTGCCACCACAGTGAGCACTGCCTCACGTGCAGTAGCTGTGCAGCCCTGCTCTGATGGTGCCGTGGTCTTTGTTTCTCGCTGGGTAGATCCCCGCAGTCTAAAGTCCATGGAGGAAGCAGACTGATGTGTGGCTGCATTCATGATGGATATTTTTCACACATTGCACTTTAAACTTTGTTCGAATGATTTGGACCATGCCGTGGATCCATCAGTGTTCTTTCTGGGTTTCCTGTCTGACTTCTGTTTGTTTGTGTAACAGGTCATTTTACACTCTGGGAGCAGCCCAGCAGGCCCTCACATTCTGGTTTAGGTGGTTTTGTTTCTTACGGTGGACTCCTTCAACAGCCTGACTGTACTTCAGATTCTCTGCTGAGATAGAGGCAACTTTATATTTTCAAAATACTGCCACAGTGCCCAGACCTCAGGACAGTGGCAGCTGTGGCAGGGCTCCCCATGTAGCATGAGGCACCATGGGGTCCTGGGAGAGCTCATTGCAAACAGTGGAGGTCCATCCCCCACTTCATCTGCGTGCGCAGCGCTCCAGGGTATGGGAGGGCTGTCTCCCCGAACCAGGAAGGGGCTGTGTGTACCTCAGCCTCTTGTGACTCCGATCCCCCACTCAGCAAATAGGGCTAATAGCAGGAATCCTCAGCTTTGCTGCCTGTTGCAAAAAGTGCACTGAGAGTTCTTGGTGCCTGCCTCCCAGAAGGTGCTCAGTGCAAGTGAGGGCTGGTGGGGTTTGCGATGCAGGGGTGGTGGAGGTGGAGATGACATGGTGACGGAGAGGTAACGGTGTCCTAGATGATGGTGACCACGCCGTTTTACATGCTCTCCAGGGAGGAGATTCTAGCAATTTTAATTTTCTCCCTCCTTACAAACAGTTATTTTCCTGTAAACAATTAGAGTAATCTTAGTGAGTGGGAGGTGGTGTCTTGCGGTTTTGATTTTTGTCTTATAACTAAGAGCATCAAGCATCTTTGTTGGCGGTGTGTGTGTCTTATTTGGAGAGATGTTTGTGTGAAGTCGTTTGTCCATTTTAAGACTGGATCATTTGTTTTTTCACTGCTGGGCTATAAGAGTTCTTAATATATTCTAGGCTCTTACCATACACATGATTGGAAGTATTTTCTCATTTTGCCAGTTACCTTTTTATTCTGTTGACAGTGTTCTCTAGCATTTGAAAGTTGTTTGTTTTGATGAAGTTCAGCTTCCTGTTTTTTTCTGTCTTTGCTCACATTGGTTATCTAGCATGGAGCCATCCTTCTGTTTCTTCCTGGTGCAGTGTCCCTTCAGTGTGCTGCTAGGTTTTGTTGGCTGGTATTTTGTTGTGGATTTTGTGGCAGCATTCATGAGACTTTGGTCTGTAGTTTTCTTGTGTCTTCATCTGACTTTGGAGTAAATAATGCTGAGCTCATAAAATGAGGTGGAAAACGTTCCCTTTTCTTGCCAAGGAAGTCTTCTGTGTTAGTGTTAGTCTTCCTTAAGTGTTTGATAGATTTCACTAGTGGTGATCGTGGGATTTTCTTTCTTTCTTTTTTTTTGGGGGGGGGTGTTAGGGGTTGAATTCATGACCACGTGCTTGCAAGGCAGGCACTTATGCCACTGTACTAACTCCCCAGCCCTATCGTGGGATTTTCTTTTAGGGAGTTTTTTAAAAGGCTGATTCAATCTATGTACTTGTATTAATTTATTCAGATTTTCTATTTTTTTTATATTTCTTGATAGAAAATCCTTTCTTAGAAATTTGTTCCTAGAAATTTGTGTTCCTAGAAATTCAAATCCATTTTGCCTAGGTTGTCTTACTTGTTGGTCTATAATTGTCCTTTTTTATTTTCCTAGGGTCAAAATACTGTTTTTACTTTGTTCTGGTTTTAGTGATTTGAATCCTTTTTCTTTTTTCTTGGTTACTCTACCTAAAGGCTTGTCGAAGCAGCAATTTTTGGATTGTAAGATTCTCTCCGCTGTTTGTAGGTTCTTTGTGTATATTTGAGAGCCCTCCTGCAGTGGAGGAGAGGAGCTCAGAGCTGCATTTCTCCATCAGGAAAGCCTGTGGGAGGACAGAAGTCAGGAGAGGGCCCTTCCCAGTGACTCAGACTTGGATGAGCACAGGTACAGGTGGTGACTCCAGTGCCTTGAGCCTCTTCCCTGTGTGCCCTGTGGTTCTAGTCCACGGAGATCCTGGTAGCCCTCTCCTGGCACTGCCCAGGTGACTGAGTTCCCAGAAACCTGGGCTAGGGAATGGTGTCCGTGTCCTTGGCAGGTACAGGACAGGAGTTACAAGCTCAGTGGCCAGCTGTGAGTCCACAGCATCTGCACTGCTGAGTTGCCCGGGCAGTGCTTAAACTGACGATTCTCCTGGCTCAGCCTCCAGAGCGCTGGGATCGTAGGCATGCAGCACCATGCCCAGCTGGGAGGGTGGTATATAATGGCTTTGTTGTGCTTGTCCAAAGTAAGAGAGCACCACCTGTTCCGTGCATGTCTGTGGCTTCCAAGTAGCTTGTTCTCCTGGGCTGTCCTGGGGGAAAATGTCCGTTTGAAAGTTTCCTGGTCAATTTTATTTACACTTCTTTGCTCACTAGAAAGAAATGTTGAAATGTTTTTCATTCCGTTCCAATCTGCTTTTTTTCTTGTGGGCGCTGCCTGTCCCTGTGCCCCTGCCCTCTACCAGCTGGGTTTTCATTTATTGGGTGGTACAGATGGCTGTGTTTCTGTCACTTTTAACCAAAACAGAAGAAGGCATCAGAACAAGGCAACACTTCTCCGTCTCACTGGGTTTGACTGCCTGGAAACCTGTAGATGTTTTCGAGACCAAAATGTACTCACTGTTGTCTTATTCTCTAAGTGGCTGCTGGCCTGTGACCAGGCCAACTTCTGCTAAGTAGGCAGCTCACTACAGGTATGCCCAAGCATGTTTGCAGGGCCCTGGAGTGACTCCAGGGAGAAGGAAGGAGGACATCATGATCCTGGGCTTTACCCTGAGCCCTCTGAAGCTCAGCCAGACCGGTGACCATGGTGTGGCCCACACCAGGCACCTCAGGCTCAGCCCCAGGATGTGCCAGGGAAATGATGGGGCTGGCCCAGCTCTGAGACCCCCTGTGCTTTCTCTGGGCCCTGGTGACAGGGTTAAGGGGCCCTCACTGAGGCAGGCTGCTGGACATGTGGCATGTTCTGGGCGAGCTGGTGGTGGCATTTCCACTTCATGTCAGGGGCTGGGATGAGAAATCCTGTCCTGCAGGGCAGCCGTGCAGTCTCTTGCCGACCCCAGCATCATTCTGTCTCCCAAGGACCACAGTCCCTGCCCAGCCCTGCTCCATCCGGCCTCTGTCCCCAGACAGTGAGCAGAGACTCTGCCATGGCTTGGTGGGTGGTAGGCGTGGGAGTGGGACCGAACCTGTGAGTAACGGTCTTGTGTCCTTCTGTTTCAGCTGCGTTGGGGTGGAGGAGGAGGAGGCACCTGACATCGACATCTACCACTGCCCAAACTGCGAGAGAACCCATGGGAAGTCCACCCGTGAGTGCCGCTGCCGGCCAGCGTCCGCTGCCCAGAGCGCAGGGTCTGCGCCGGGCCTGAGCCTTGGCCCAAGGCTGATGGGGCTGGGATGACATGGGGAGCATCAGATGGCATGGCCTGGGGACCCCTCCAGCCAGGCTTATCTCCTTACAGCCTCATTGAGCACCCAGGTTGGCTCCTGCCATCCAAGGCAGCAGTGCAGAGACCCCCTGAGGCCTAGTCAGGGCGCACACAGCACTGCTGTGGCCGGGTTGGCCTGAGTCGGGCTGTGGACCTGGTCCTGAGCAGGTTAGCGGCGATGAAGGGAGTGTCCAGGGGGCTCAGCCTAGTCCAGGCCTGCCCAGCTGGCCCCACCATGAGGTCATCTCCAGATGATCTCCATTTATGGGGGCTCTGCCTCCTTTATCCCACTTGCCTCCTGTGAGGGCATCTGCCGGGGCCCTGCCTTTTCTAGGGTGCTGCTTATTGTGTGTCCCTGGCCTCGCCCTCCCTCCCACCTCTGGTTTTCCCTCTCAGTGCAGCTGGGCTCAGACTCAGCTCATCTGTGCAGGATCCTCCAAGTGGGCTTTGTACCCCAAGGCTGAGCTAGGGTGCAGCAGACTTCAGGCCTGGTCTGAAAGGATTTGGCAGGCAAGTGGCCTCCGGACTGGACCAAAGCCACACGAGTGTGTGTGTGTGTGTGTGTGTGTGTGTGTATGTGTGTGGCCTCTGGCCTGCCTGGGTTAGGCTGGTCAGCTGATTACAGACCTTGCATCTGGGCCCTGGCCAGGCTGAGCTGTGAATGGGTAGAGTGTCAGGAAGGGGTGAGCTCTAGCCATGGACACTTGGTGTCACCCCTCTTCAAGGTGTGATGAGTCCTGCCAGGAGAGTGGGCTGGGGGGGGGGCACAGGCACAGGAGGAAACCCCAGCAGCACCCCTGTTCTATAGACCAAGGCTGGGTGGAGGGGAGTCTCAGGAGCTGGTCTGCTCCTGGTGAGGCTGGCACTGGATGGGGTGGGGTGTCTCCACTCTGGGGACCTCACTGCATTCTCTTGGCCCTGCCAACCAGCTTTCCTCCACCATTATGGTGATGGGGGCCTCATGTTTTGGATTTGTCCCTTGCTTCTCGGCCATCAGCACCCTGTAAATGCTGCCAAGCCTGTGTGTAGGTGTGGATGAGAGGGCTGGTGGCTCTTCTGTGACTTGTGGGCCAAGGATCTGCTTTGGGCCATTCCAGGGCTCCCGAGTCACCTTCCTGCTTGGTATGCGGCAGTTGGGGCGAACACAGGGAACACTAGCTGCCAGTCACTCTGTGACTGCTTGAAGGCAAAGTAAAGGCGGGAAGGGGGACCCTGGTGTTCTGGGATCTGTGCTGCACTGTGAGGCCTGGGACCGGGGCCAGGAGACCCCAGGAGGGGGCGGGGTGAGACTTGTATGCTCACTCAGAGGGCACTTGGGAGGGTGCCGGGCTGATCCTGCTCTGTGGTGCTGCCACAGGTGCTCGTGGGTGTCACTTGAGAAGTCCTACGTTCATTGGCGGAAAAAGCTGGAGACCCCAGGCCAGGGCCGTCTGGCCCTGCAGTCTTCAGTGTTCTGAGTGGTCATTGTCTGGGTGCTTTCATATGCATGACTGAGTTGGGTGACCACAGAGGGCAGGGCCAAGCAGGCTGTGCAGATTGGGGAGCACATAGTTTGATTGTTGTTAGCATTCTCAGGAGTTCCCAGAAACACCCCTGACCTGGTGGTACCTGCTGAGAAGGGTGTGCACCTGCCTTGGCCAGATGCTGCCCTTTGCCTGGGCCAGTGGGGGCAAAAGCCTGGCGGTCACCTAGGGCCAGGTGCAGGAGCCCCTTTCCCATTTCCTACAGTCAGCCCTCCAGGAGTGATATGCAATATGTGTGTGTGTGTGTGCGTGCATGTGTGCACTTGTATGTTTTTATGCGTGCATGTGAATTTGTCTATTTGGGCTGCTACAGTGAAGTACCACACACTGGTCTCTTACATAATAGTAAATTAATTTCTCACCTTTCTGGAGGTTGGGAGCTCCAGATCAAGGTGCTGGCACATTCGGTGTCCAGTGGTTCATGGTGGCCTCTTCTTGCTTGATACAGGGGCAGAGGAGCTCCCTGGGGCCTCTAATCTGAGGACTCCATGTGCATGATGGGTTCTCTTCCAAAGCTCACCTCTTAGCATCATCACTTTGGAGACTGTGCATTTCAGGAGATGAGTGTGGAGGGCAGGGAACAAAGATGCCATTCATTGTGTACTTGCATGTGTGTGTGTGTGCAGAGCTGCTGTGTATGTCCTGGGGCTCGCAGACGCGTGCTGCTACTGTTGGGGAACCTGAGCCTCAGAGGTGCAGTGCTAGCGCTTCTTGCTGGAGTGTCCTTAGACCTGTGAGGAGTCTGCCCTGAGACCAGTACCTGTCTGTGACACCCCAGCTGGCTGCTGTATTGACAGCAAGCACCTTGGTGACCAGAAGCCCCCCCCTGTGGCCACTGCTGGGAGCTCTCTGGGGGCCCAAAGGCCACCTCCCAGCTTCCCGCCTGGGCTGTGGTCTGCATTTGTCTCAGCAAGTGGGGCTGCCCATGGCCACTGCCCTGGGACTGCAGGCCCTTTCCTACACTGTCCAGCTGTGTCCCTTTGATTTTGGGTCCCCCAGGTTTAACTGGCCCAGGCCTCTTGAACAGGTGCTTGGCAAGGGTCACCATGTGACCAAAGCCTAAGAGGGGCAGGGAGGCACTGCAGTGGCAGCAGCTGTGGACGAGGCGGCCCCATCACAGTACAAGGTTACCTAACTGGCTGAACTTACTGTCCATCCAAAGGTGATGGTCTTTGTTCCCTGATGGGCTGGGGTGAAATGCTGATGCTCAGAGGATGACCTGAGGTTCAGTACTGGTCCACTTGGGGACACCCAGGTCATCTTCATGGCTGTGTTGTCACCAGTAGGGAACGGGAGGTGGGGAGAAGACTGTTGCCAGCAGTGGTGGCTGCTAAGCAGCGAAGGTCCTAGCAGAGAGATGAGCTGATTGGGCACCAGCAGATGTCATCCAGCTACAGGATGGCTGTCCCGGTGGCTGGGGACCTTCCAGGAGGTGCCTTTGGCCTGACTTGGTGCCTGAAAGAGGAGGGGTCCTGGGAGACCTATCTCCAGGACCAGAGAGTGAGGGATGGGGTGTGGGGGGGAGTGCCCCCCTATGTTTATGTGCATGTGTATATGTGTCTGTGTATGTGTGTCTTTCTGTCTGTCTGTGTGTCTGTGTGTATCCATATGTCTGTGTGTCTGTGTGTATGTATCTGTCTATCTGTGTCTGTGTGTGTCCCTATATCTGTGTCTGTGTCCATGTGTGTGTCCGTGTGTGTGTCTCTCTCTGTGTGTATGTGTGTGTGTGTGTGTGTGTGTGTGTGAAGAGGTGCTAGAGTGGCGAGGTGAGACCCTCAGGTGGCTTCCCATTTTGGGGTGTCTTCAGCTCCCCAACTTCCTTTCCACCCCCCAGGATGCCCTGCTGGGCCCCTTGTCGGGTGGTGGGGGTGAGGGCCCCAGAGCTGGGCATTGGCCCTTACCCCGCCCCGTCCCCCATTTCCCCCGCAGTCAAGAAGAAGCGGACCTGGCACAAACACGGCCTGGGGCAGACGCCCGACGTGAAGCCCGTGCAGAACGGCAGCCAGCTCTTCATCAAGGAGCTGCGGAGCCGAACCTTCCCCAGGTGCGCCTTGGCGAGCCCTTCCCTGGGGCCTGGCTGCGCTGCCCTGGGTCAGCACTGGGGTGAGGGGCAGGGCGTGGGGCAGTGCTGGTGACCGCAGGGGCTCTCCTGCGTTCCTGCGTGAGCCCAGCCCTGCTCACCTCCCGCTCCGGTTCTCTGACCACATCTCTCTCTCTCCTTCCCTTTGGAGGGCAGTTGCAGTGGACAGTGGATTTTGAGCTGGACGGGTCTCTTCTAGCACTTGGAATGTTTCTCCCTCGCCCACCTGGCTTGTGTGATTTCTGATGAGGAATCAGGGTCTTTTACCCTAGCTCCTCTATGCATGAAGTGCTTTCTACTTCCAGCATTTGCCCCCTTCCCTGAGCTGCGATCCACGTGCCCTGGTACCATCCGGGGAAGAGTGCGCAGTTGGGTAGTTTCTGGTTTGTGCACAGATGCATAGAGCTTCACTGTTATCTAGCACCCCTATCTCCTGCCCCACACCCGCCTAAGCAGCCACAGCTCCTGTTTCATCTCCAGACTGGCTTCTCTCATGGCATTTCCTAGACAGAGGACTGTGGAACAGATGTCTGGCTTTTGTTCAACGTCATGTGTGGGCTTATCCACACTGGAGTATGCGTTAGTCCTTCATTTCTTTTCATGGCTGAGTAATATTCCACAGCACAACTAGACCACATTCTGGGTACTTTGCATTTCTGTTATTCTGCTGATGGGCATTTGGGTTGTTTCCACTTTTTTGGCTATGTGTAATTCTGGTCTAGATCTCCACGTGAACGCTTTCATTTGTGAGGCGTAGAATGGCTGCGTGGGATGGGAGCCCCACACCGAGTTGTCTGGAGACCTGGCAGGTGGTTTTCTAGGGCTGCCAAACTGCTGCATAGTCCTGCAGCAATGCGGCTGCCCCTTGACCCCGCGCCTCCTGGGTGTGCAGTGACTTCTCACGGCCTCTGGTGTTTGTGTCCTGACTGAGGGTGTTGGTGTCTTTCCATGTGCCTCTGTGTCTCTGTGTATCTCCTTAGAGAAATATCTTTCCCCTGTTATAAATCTGTTTTCTTTTCATCAAGGAATTGTAAAAGCTTTTTATATACTTCAGGATAGAGGTCCTTTATTGTATATATGATTTGCAAATACTGTTTTTTATTTTGTGGATTGTATTTTCGTTCTTGGTAGCGTTCTTTGAAACACAAAAGTAATTTTGATGTGGTCTGATGTATCTATTTTTGTTGGTGGTGCTGTTTGTGGTGTCTTTCTTTCTTTCTTTCCTCTCTTCCCCTCCTCTGCTGTCCTCCCTTCCCCTCCCCTCCCCTTCTCTCCTCTCCTCCTTTTTCTTTTCCTCCACCTTCCCCACTTCCCCTCCCTCTCTTTCTCTTTCTTTGTGGTAGTGGGGGGTTGAACCCAGGGCCTTTGCACTGAGCTGCATCCCCAACCCTTTTTTAATTTTCCAGAAAGAATCTTACTTTATTTTAGGTTTTCCAGGCTGGACTTGAACTTTCTATCCTGCCTCAGCCTCCCAGAGTTCTGGGGTGACAGGTGTACACTCCCACGCCTGGCCTCCCTGTGTTTTCTTTAAATAGGCCTGTAGTTGTGTTATTTACAACTTGTTCTTTGATGCATTTATTAAATTTTGATGTAGTATGAGATGAAGATCTCTTTTTATTTATTTTGCATGCAGCTATGCATTTGTCCTAGTATCATTCGTGAGAAGAATATTCTTTTGCTGTTAAGTGTCTTCTTCGTTTCATGGAACCCACTGGCCCTAGATACGCATGTTTCTTTCTGCATATTCAGTGCTAGCCCCCTGTTGTATGCCTGTCTTTCTGCTGGAATTACACAGCCTTTATCAGTGTGGTTTTTTAGGAAGTTTTGAAATGAAAAAGTCTGTCTTTCAACTTTGCTTTTTTGGGGGGCGGTTTATTTTGGTTATTCTGGGTCCCTTGCATGTCTGGATGAATTTTAAGGTCAGCCTATCATTTCTACCAAGAAGTCAGCTGGCATTCTGAAAGGGATTGCTTCTACTCTGCACGTTTCTTTGGGAGCTTCACCATTGAACGATGTTAAGTCTTGGGCCATGAACATGGGGTGTTTCCCCACTTATTTAGATCATTTAGGATCTTCCAACGATGACTTGTAGTTTTCAGAGTCTAAGTTTTATACTTTGATTAAATTTATGTTTTATTCTTTTTGGTGCTTTTATGAATGAAATTGTTTTTTTAATTTCACTTTCAGATTGTTCATTGCTAGGACATAGACATACGCTAGATTTTTGTATAGTGATCTTATATTCTGCAACCTTTCAGATTAGTTTTTCTTGGGGAGGTGATCTTTTTTTTTATTGAAAGCAAAATCACACAATTTTGTTATTTGTGATCTAATAGATTTTGTCACAGTTTAACCAAAGGGAAGTTTGACTTTATTTTAGTGCAATTCTTTAATACATTCTTTCTTTTAAAAAATATTCTTTATTGATGCATTTTTGATGCATAATGAATACACGTACTATGGGGAGCTGGTTTTCATACACGGTGCAGCTGAACCCTCTTACCTTTCCCTTTCCTCCCCTCCTTCCCATCCCGTCAGCCCTGGGCCCCCTTCCCAGCTCCAGAAGTTTCCTTCGATGCTCTTTGTTGTTGAGCTGTAAGAGCTGCTTAAATATTCTGGGTGCTTGTCCCTTACTGAGTACTTTCTCCCGTTCTGTGAGTTGTCATTTACTTTTCCATAGTGTCCTTTAGGCACAGAAATTTTAATTTTGATACAATTAAAAAACCAAGGTCATAAAGACTTATGCACTTTGTCCTAAGAGTTTTATAGTTTTAGCATCTTCATTTAGCTTTTTCTCTTATATTTAATGTTTTGACTCATTTTGAGTTAATTTTTATATACTATATGAGGGAGGGGCCAACTTCAGTTTTTCGCCTGTGGATATCCACTTTTTCCAGCACTTTTCTTGTTGAAAAGTTTTCTAGGCTTTTCATATTGAAGACTTTTCTTTCCCTTTTGGAATTGTTTTAGCGCTTGCAGTGCAAGGCAGTTGACGGAAGGTGGAAGGATTCATTCTGGGCTCTCGATTCTACTGTGTTACTTTGTGTGTCCCTTACCGTGCCAGGACCGTAGAGTCCTGACGTATGTTTGTAGTGAAGTTGGATGTGTGAAGTATCTTCCAACAGGGACATGTGGGTGCCTTGTATTTCTCTTCAATGCCTTAAATTTTGGTAGGAATTGTGCAGAATCTGTAGATCAACTTTTCTTTCTTTCTTTTTTTGGTCTTTTTGAGACAGGGTCTCTGTGCAGTTCAGGCTGGCCTTGAACTCACTGTGCCTCAAATGTGTAGGGATCCTCTTGCCTCAGCCTCCTGAGTGCAGGGATTATAGGTATGCACCACCATGCCTGGCTTCTGTTCTTTCTTTTTCTTTTTTTGTCTTTTTCCTTTTCTGTCGGTACCTGGGATCGAACTCACGACTGCCTGCTTGCAGGGCAGGCGCTTATGCCGCTGAACTAAATCCCCAGCCCCTTCTGTTCTTTCTTGAATCTTCCTTCTTTTGATTTCCTTCTTGTTGTTTTCACCCATTTTTAAATTTATATTTTGGGTTTCTCCTATGAGAGAGTCCATATGATAGTTTTCTGATTTATTTCATTTAACATTATGGTCTCAAGGGATACCTATTTCCTACAAAGGACTCAAGTTTAAGCTTCCTTATAGTAAAGTGGTGCTCTGCTGTGTATAACTGCCATGTTTTCTTTATCCATGGTGGATAAAGAATGGGTATAGGATGCTTCCAAGATTAGGTGTCAGGAGCTGTGCTGTTGGAAACGCAGGTATGCATGGACCACTGAAATATAATGCCTTTAACTCTTTTGAGAAGAAAACTAGGAAGAGGATAGTGGGTTGGATGGAATTTCTGGTTTTAGTTTTTTGAGGAGTCTCCATACTGATTTCCATAATGACTGTACTAGTTTACATTCCCACCTACAATGGAGAAGGCTTCCCTTTCTCCCTGCAGCCTTGCCAGCGTTTATTACTGATCGATTTCTTGATGACAGCCATTCTTTCTAGAATAAGTGTTAATTTGCATTTCTCCAATGGCCAGAGATGTCAAACATTTTCTCAGATATTTATTGGTCATTTATACTTCTTCTGAGAGGTGTCTATTCACTTCACTTGCCCATGTTTTGATTTGGTCTTTTTATTTTGGGGAATCTAATTTTTTTTTTTTTAGTTCTTTCTGTATTCTAGATATTAGTCTTCTACCCAAAGTAGGGCTGCTGGTTTTTCCCATGCCAATTCTGTTGGTTGTTTCCTTTACAAGTGCAGAAGCTTTTTAATATAATATGGTCTAATTTCTAGATTCTTGGTACTATTTCTTGTGCAATTAGGGTTTAGTTCACAAAGTCCTTGACTCTGCTTATGCATTCAAAGGTTTTACCTATTTTATCTTCCAGGAAATTATGTATTTCTGTTTTAACAATAAGCTTTTGGATCCAGCTTAGCACATGGTGAGAGATATTGATCTAGTTCAATCTTCTGTATGTGGAGAGCCAGTTTTCCCAACACCAACACTTGGTAAAGAGGCTATCTTTTCTCCAGTGTATGTTTTTGGTTTCTTTACCAAAGATTCAATAGCTGAATGTGCCTATAATTGTTTTTGCATCTTCTGTTCTGTTCTGTTGATTCATAGGTCTGTATTTTTGGTGATGCTATTTTGTTTTCATCACTGTAGCTTTGTAGTATAACTTGAAATCTGGGATTATGATGTTCTTTCCCAGGAATTGCTTTTGCTATGGGATCTCTTCAGATTTTGTATGAATTTTAGGATTGTGTTCTCTAGTTCTATGAGGAATGCTTATTGATATTCCAGTTGGGAATGTGTTAAATCCATGTATCAGCCTCGGAAGTATGGTTGTGTTAAAGATACTCTTTCTGCCTATCCAGCAGCAGGGGTTATTTTCCAATTCCTGATGTCCTTATCAGTTGCTTGGTTTAGAGTAATGCAGTTTTCAATGTAGAA